AAATTCAATAACTGATATGTCCATTTGCATCGCAAAGCATTATTAAAAGGAAGCAAAAATTAATAAAATTAAGGTAAAAAATTTATAACTTTGCTTTAATACCCCCGCTTGAAAAGTGATCGGGATGTCCGTTCGTCCGTCTGTTACGCTTTGGGGTACCCATCTCTTATCTGCAACTCCTCTTTTACACTTGATGAATTTTAAGGAAACTTTCATAGAATCATTGTTACATACTCGTATATTGCCATTATGCACATCCTATTTTACTTTTTGATCCGGCACATATTTTGGGTTTCTCAGAGCAAAAAATAGACACAGCCATTCTCTCCTATACCACTGAATAAAATCTACTGATACTTTCACAGATTCTTTATTTCACAATGTACAGAACCCATTTAGGACCAATCAAAAAAATTTGAATTCGATATAACAAATTGTCAAATTTGTTAAAACGAATCTAATTCGTTATAACAATTTTTTTGGAACTCGTTATGGCGAATTAATTGTGTTATAACAGATATCTTAAATTCGTTATAACATATTCCAAAACTTGTAACAACTATTTAAATTAGTTCAAACGGATTCTAAAATTTGTTATAACAAATTGAATTCGTTATAACAAATTAAATTTCTTACAAAAAATTTGTTGAATTCGTTATAACAAATTCACAAATACTTTTCTGTAGGCCCCAATTTTTGAATTTGATTAAACGGCTTTATTTCTTTATCACAAATTTCAGAATTTTTTAAACGATTTTAATTTGCTATTACAAATTTTATTATTGGTTTTAACAAATTTAATCTGTAATAACAATTTTTTTAATTCGATATTGTGCATCTCTTATTCTACTTTTTGATCTGACACTTATTTCTTGTGTCCAAATCAAAACATAGACTTTGCTATTTTATCAACCAGAGGCAGGCGGTATTATACTTAATGAGCTCATTGCTCACAGTACCTCTAGTTTGAACTAGAGATTTGGTTTTAGATTTTATTATATGGCACGCCGATTGGTTCAAAAATATTTTCTGCACGACCTTAAACAGAAATTACACGAGCAAGTCAAAACTTACACAAAGTGCGGAAAATACACACAAAGTTATTGAAATTTTCACACACTATACAAAAACTACACAATCAAGAAAGAAAATATTTACACGATACAATGAGAAAATTACACAAACGTAAAAACGAAAACTGCACAAGTGAGAATACAACATCGACATAATATACGGCGCATCCTCATTGCGCACATTTTATTAATATTCATTAGAGAACAGCTCAGTGTGGCTTGGATGCTTGAAACGTTATAAAACAAGAGGATGAGTAATGTGTTAACAATATTTATTCAATCATTTAAAAAGGATTAAGTCTTTCAGAATTATGCTAGACTCTCAAGAATACGCACATTGTGTTTTATACAATGACTACAATATGCATATAAATTAACACCCTTCTATTTAAAACATTCTACACAGTCATGTATAGAAAACGTAAAAAAAGGGGGGGGGGGTGTGCATATATATTATCAGTTGCGTGTTTAAGTCATTCCTCTATATAGCAATTATATCTTTTGAACGTTCAAAACAATGATAATATCATAGTAAAGGTAAATAAATAAAAACAGCGTGAGGTAATACAGGAGAGTTAACAACAAATGAAACTCTTTTCCTCCATCACCCACTGTGTGTACTTTGGTAATAATTAAGGATGTGGATGTGTGACCTTTTCATATCGAGAGATTCCTGGCACCCTGCTGGTGCTGGAATGAAAGACACCTGTACGCTAATCGATTTATAGTTATTTGACACATCAATAATACCTTTTGATTGAAGGTTACTAGCAATTCATTCAGAGATTTTGAAGCAATGTTGCAGCCATCTGGGTTGTGGAATTTGCCCGATACATTTTTATACGTAAACAGTAAAAAAAAAAAACCAACAAATAATTGCGCAACTTTAATTTTAATACTAAACGAATCCATCATTTTTTGAAAATAACTCGTAGTAAAATTATACAGTGTTTTACTTATGTGAATTTCTGTTTTTCTAGTGTAGATTATTTTGAATAGGTAAAATGCATATAAAGGAGGTAAACAATTTAAAATTATATTATGCTGAGACACATTTAGTATCGCTTTTTAAAGTGAGGGGGGGAGCAAATTATACCTAAACATTCTAATTAACAAGCAGAAAAAAGGTAGAGCGTCCAATCTCGAAAATCCTTCAATTCCAATCCAGCAACAAAAAGGAGGATTTTCAGTGGACATTTTACAATGGAAGTAGGTTCTGTTTGCAAAAAAAAAAAAATAATAATAACAACAACAAAAAACGAGGGGGGGGGGGGGCAGGTACCTTCTGATGCTACGTGCCTGAAATATATTTTTAAGAATTTAAGGGTACGATATCCTGGGATTTGCCTGCGCTCGACCTAACAACAGTTAAAAATTGGGGGTTGGGGGTTGGGGTCAACCAGCATAGCATATAAAGGAAAATTTACTATGGCAAAATCAATACTCGAAAATGAGGGGGGATGGGGGGGGGTCTACAGGCCTGATTGACGATTAATTTCGTTTCATAATAATACAAGTATAATCATGTATTTATTTTCATAATGGCAATTTACATCTAATTGGGTAAAAAAAAGTAATCTTACAAGAAACTTGGTGTTTTGGAAATAATTTTAAAAATCATGAAGTCATTAGTTGCCACACATCAAGCTCCATAAAGAACATAAATTATTTGCATTTTTCAAGAGTGATAAAACACGTTCTATTACACTGCTGTATCCACTCTAATTTTTTTTTTATTGCTGAACCTTTTTGTAACATTGTACGCATAGATGTACTTAGTAAATCATAATGTTTTAACAAAACACAAAAGCGCATGTACATAAAGCACATAGAGTATATATATATATATTCTCCATTTATCTGGTCCTTTTTATTAAAACGAAAACATTTATCATGCAATCGCCATTACGAATGAGGGTAACGCTTACAAGAAATGTCTTGTTTTTATTGAGTAGCTTATAATTGAAAATATGAGATTTCATGGAAGGAATTCATAAAAAAGTATGCTAAAGATCTCCAACCAAAACTGATATCCTGATATTTTATAAGTATGAATACATGTGTTATTAGAATAAACAATTTTTTATGTTTGACGTTAGATCTAAATACATGCTGTGCACATCTAAGGTAATACCAAGTTTTTAAGTTAAAAAAAATATATCCAATAAAATCAATAAAGGTATATATAATTTCTTATTCCGAGTGGTGAATCAAATAAAATAGGTACAAATGGAGAGTACCAAAATTAATTCTACAGCTTAATGATTATAATCAGCAATGATTCTGCCAGTTTCATGAATAATCAACTTTATTAATCGTTTGATTATGCAAGTATTAATTTATATTAATACAAGTAATTTCCGTTAAAGATGTATCTATAGATTAGAAATTTTCAAAAGCTATAGAGAGTTTAGTTAAATAAAAAACTAAAAAATAATAATTCTAACAATTTTTTTTTTTAGAAAATCAAGATCCTAGTCAGTCGCACTGTTTATCGTTTGGTACTTTTCGTTCGGTGTCGAGAGCATCATACATTGTATGCAATGTTTTTTTTTTTTTTTTTTTTTTTTTTTACCTCCTCGCATTATATGATTCCTTCTTGTCACAATTTGTGTCATCAAGTAATAACTCCATATATTAGTTAGGATCTCGGTCAATACAAGAAAAAGCATAATATTTTGAAAACCTTTGAAGTATTCTCACATATAGATCACATGGAAACACTTCATTTGTTCGATTGGCATTAGCTAGAAATTGGATCGAGGTTTAGCAAAGAAATAAAAAAGCAAAGTAAAACACATGCCATCGTCAACGCCATTTAATTTCCATTCTCGATTACATCCAGCAAAGTATACATGACTGAAGAGATAAAGAGTACAGAAAACCAAGAACACGATGAATATTCTATGTGCATAATAATGATATGCGCAGCTGTATGCGCAGTAAAATTGTTTGTGTAATTTTTGGTTTCCTCTGCTCGTGCAATTTTTGATTTTTTGTTTGTGCATATTATACCCCTAAATCGTGTAAAAAATTTCGGATTCGTGTATTTTTCGTTATGTTTGTGTTAAAATCTTTCAAACTATGTGCAATTTTTACCTATACGTGCATTTTTATTTTACTCGTGTATATTTTTCATCTAGCTCGTGTATAAAATCTTGATCGTTGTGCAGAAAATAATTTTGAACCAATCGGCGTGCCATATTATTATCTTCATGTTTGTAGTAAACTTGGACTGTAAGGTTTGCATCATTATATGTCGTGCACTTAACATATATAGACTGAACAAGCTATACAATACAATTATCATACACTTTGGTAGGAAAAAGTAAAAACATATTGAACCAGTGCTGACGGAGAAACGTTTTTGGGAATTCCCCGTTTCAAAAATACAAATGTATCCCCTTTAGCTATAGCCGTGTATTTTGTCTGACTTTATTTTGACCCTTCTGTACCTAATTAACTATATATATAGCCGATCTGTTTGTATTTTGAATGCCCTCGATCGATGTATCTATTTCTTTTCGATTATTTTCGTTGGTTTATTTAAATTAAATTTTTTAAAGATAATTGCAGAGAGGGAGAGAGAGAGGAGGGGTAGGGTTGGTGGTGATGATGAATTCAAAAAGCGCGATACACCGATGCTTGAAAAATGTTTAAATCTTTTTAATGAAAGGTGAAATTTGCGTACACAGTGTGAAGTATAAATTTTACTGCATTCCGGTTATGAACTAACGGCGTGTCTAAAGTAAATATAGTTTAGTAAAGTATATATATAAACTCTCGGAGTAAATCAAGTACATGAGCAAAAATTATTCACCACTACTCAATTGACCCAGAATATAATCTGATGACCTTGAATTCTTTCTTAACTTGTCATATATTTACGCCAACTGCGTTCTCAGCGGGGGTGTTCAAAAGCCTGTTCTTAGGGAATTTCCCCTCTCCTTTTTGCAAAAGTGCCGCGATCTGCACAATGTTCAAAGACGATATTTTGTAAAGATCCATGACGTATACAGTACACACGGCCAATCCGCACCCGAATTTTCCGGTCAGTGTTTATCAACCACGCAGCATCAACAAATCTGTTTATTTTTATCTTCTGCACACGTTCACTTGGCTCTGAGTATAAATAATCACTTGGATTCAGGGGAAGTTCACATAGAGAAAAACACTACAGGAATTAAGATGGACGAGACGGTCAGAATCGGGATATTGTTGATGATCGGCTTTGTTACGTTTGGCCAAGAAGTAGCCGAAAAGGTAAAATTTGTAAAACTTTGTGCTCATAATTCTAGCTAACGTTTGTTTAGAAATGAATTCAAAGTATATTACACATGCACTGTGATGGTATATATAACGTCGTCAGTGTTGATACATATTACAATTGTGTTTTTGATACTATCGTGATTTTTCTTCTTCAGAACACAATACAAAAGCCACGAATCTATTTTCTTCATGTGAACTCGGAAATAAAATATCGATTCTCAAAAACAGTCATCACAAGTAAAGTTGTCAACCCGGGGAAAGAGGCATCTGAAACTGTCTTTGACGTCACTCTTCCTAACGAGGCTTTCATGACATCTTTCAAAATGTAAGACTTCCGGTCAAATCTCTGATTAAATTTTTTTTTTTACATTTTTTACATTTTTGCAATGTTGATTAGAACATATTTTATGGTATTTTTTGCAATTTAAGTGCAATATGTGAACAACCCAATAGTATAAAGGAATACCGACATTTTAAATAAATTAGCACTTCTTTAAAATTTTTGATTAGGATAATTAATGGAACCGAATATAAGGGGGAAGTCAAGGAAAAAGAACAGGCCAAACAGGAATATGACGCGGCCAGGTCACGTGGTCAAAGTGCTGGACATATAGTTGCAAAGTAAGTTTCTTCTATCCAAAATCTTAAATGAAATAGACAGCTTTGATATTATATACATTTTCTTTGATAAGTGAACAGATGCTAGTGCTTTGCTGAATCAAAAAGACTTAATTGATTCACATTTTTTGTTCCTGTTGAATAAAATTGTTAGTAAACATCTTCGATGTGTAAAGTTTCAGAGTGTAATATTTTTTCTTCTGTATCTTTCATTTGCCTTTTCAGACCAAGAGATTCCAATAAATTCCAGATTCAAATAAACGTTGCTGCCGCCGAAAAGGTGACGTTCGAATTGACTTACCGGGAACTGTTACGAAGAAGAACTGGGAAATACGAGCAGTTAATTTATATAAATCCTGGGCAAATTGTGGACGATTTCAGGGTCGATGTTTCTATTGAGGAATATAGGAATATAACGTCAGTTCATGTTCCACCTTTACGTAACGATATCTTGACAGATGACACGGAAGGTAAGAAAATTTTAGAATGTTTTTAAATATTTTGAATGTGTACGAACAAGGGACATTTACGTATAAGTCTTCACTATAGGGAAAGTATCCCCCTATAAAACAAACTTTTGATTTTTTTTAGAATTTATTCCTCATACTTTTTGTCCATTTTCTGAGGTTTTTAATTATATACAAGTAAATCCAATTTCAATCAGCGTTACCAAAATATTGACGTTGGAATTTTTGGGACATGTTAAATGAAAACTTCTTGTTGACAGAAAAAATAACAGCACTGATTTCAACCAACATAATACTCTTATTTATCAATTATCAAGGGGTCATAAATGCATGTTTAAAAATGTATCTGGTTTGGTATGGATATGACCTACGAGGGTTGTCCCGTAAAATCGTGGACAAGTTATCTAGTTTGAAAAATAATCATCACTGCGTTCTGAAATTTTCACCACTTTTTAGTAGATAAATTATGAATATACATAGCAAATTTCAAATAGATATATGCATAGGTAAACAAATTGTGATATTTTATGTTATGTACTGTATTGCCCTACGGCGCACGGATGATAACGTCAAAGTGTCTAAAACAGCGTCACGTTTTATCTTTGCTAAACTTAAAGTTGGATAAGCCCCACTTAGATTAAGAAATTTTATTGATTTACATATGTGAGTATCTATGTCCAGTTAAGAAACCAATGTGGCACACTCATGCGATCTTCTGAATATTTATTAGCAAGTTACAGACAGTATTCTCACCATCATTCAACTAAAAGAGAATCCCACATCGACGGTCGACAGTGACAGCGTCCTTTGCTATTACAAATGGCAGTCTGTCCATATGTTATGTACTATCTGGGGACTCGACCACGAAGATTTCACTAAGAAAACTTTCATTTCATTTATATACTAAAGATCTGGTGATATTTTTCATATTTTATTTCTTCTGTATTCATTTAAAGTCTCTCAAGGCGTCATTACAACATCCTAATCTATCTGAACTGCTCTCCGGTGCGCCGTAACGTCATAAAAAGTCGCCATTTTTCGTGTATTGTGTTTATGACTTTCCCATTTCAAATGCTTGGGAAACTGCCAAAAATTAACCAAATGCCTTGAAATTTTTAAAAAGACGACAGAATTGATTAAGAAATGGAATTAGGATAATTTTCATCCTAATCTTATGTATTGAAAACTTTTATTACCAATTAATTCTTATGTCTTCTCTAATATAACCTTGCTATTTTTACCGTGCGCCGTAGGACCATACCTTGTGCACATTCAAGCAGAATAAAATCTTTATTTTTGAATATATATTATCAAAAACATCATGATTCACTTAAATATGATAAATAAACATTTACTGAAAATTTCATCTTAGTGCGCCCATGACTTTTCGAGAAAAACGCTTTGTCCACGATTTTATGGGACAACCCTCGTATTTGTACTTTGTTTCATAAACAAATTGAAATAGATTGCATTCATCGTATGTCTAAACCTGTGTTTCAGAATTTGTCAGAAATTAAATTGTTGCAATGATGAAATACAAATTCGATAATATTTTTCTTCGATGCAAGATTGATAGGATATCTTTTTTTTCAAATGTATGTCTGAAGGAAAAGTTGTCAATTATGGTTTTCTAAAACAACAGTTTTTTTCACGCACTAGACTTTACGCTGTAGATTGTTTACGTGCTACTTAAGGTTTTCACATATACATGTAGTTTATGTCTAAATACTTGGAAGTTAAATTTGGCCCTTGACATTTTTTTTATGGATTTGATTTTGATAGGGAAAAACAAAGACGCAGAAATTGTACGCCTCTCTCCAACTCAAGTGAAGATTTCCTACTCGCTGACGAAGTCACAACAAGAGATTTTGTCTGAACAAGGGATTTCCGGACAATTCGTTGTCCAATATGACGTTGAGAGAGAGAAAAATTCTGGAGAAGTTATGGTAATTAGCCTAATTAAGGTCGAAACATTGCAAAAAAAAAAACCCTTGATCTAGAACCAATTTATAGAAAAGACACAAAATTCATTAACAATTAAAGTGATTAAACACCCCTTTACGTTTTGTATAATGAAATAATATTAAAGGTATATCAGGAATAGAACTTGATTTGAGAATCAGCGATTTTAATAAATTTAAAGAAATAAATTCAAGATTAAAATGAGAAAACAGAGTAGTGATAAATAAAACCAATGAGTTTTATTAGCGGCGATTATTATCCAGTAACTGGCTTTTAGAAAATTCTAAATAACTTTTCTATATATACATGTATCATGTTGTAAATTCTGTATTTACTAGGTTGAGGTAAATGCAAAATTTCCAACTTGTTACCTAGATTAAAATTGTAAAAATTTCAGTATTACGCTAGGAAATGAATTTGAAGTAAATTCAAAATAAATATGTCGTAATTTTCTTCAGGTAATGGATGGCTACTTTGTCCATTTCCTGGCGCCGGATGGCCTGGATCCTATGCCCATGGACATTGTTTTCATCTTAGACAGGAGCGGATCAATGAGCGGGACTAAAATGAAACAACTCCAGGAATCCATGTTAAAGATTCTAAACGAAATAAGCGAAAACGATCGCTTTATGTTAGTAGCCTTCGATAATAAGTTGAAGTTTTGGCGCCGGGAACTAGCTCAGGCGACAACCGCTAATATCGCGGAAGCCAAACAGTTCATTCAGAACACCGGCGCGGAGGGAAGTGAGTGCTGTGCAATGTACAATGTTTAAACACGTAATAATGTAGGAATTATATTTTGTCTGACGATAACATTTTTGGCAATTATTCTTCCTATTCTTATCAGCTGTTTTAATGCTGAAATTGAAATTTTGTCTGCAATCATTTCAACGAATTCTTTTTATGCAAATTATTTATGTTATTCGGTGAAAATTTTTGGTAAAAGCTTTTTAATTATCCTATATGTAAAGACATGCCTTTTATCTTCATACGTACATTGTATTTCAATGTTTATTTGGATAAAATTAATATTATTTTTTAATGTGAGACGCAGATATCAAGATTTCTATATCTATCCAGATTTCTCTTTAAGAATTATGAATATATTGCTAGCACCTTACATTTAAAAATATAAATAACATTTGTATTTCTATTCGATGAATTTCAAGGTACAGACATCAATTTGGCGATGACAGAAGGATTAAAGCTGCTTTCACAAAACACTCAGGAATCAAGAGCCCCGGTCCTGGTTTTCCTCACAGACGGACAACCTACTTCCGGCGTCACAAACACCAACAAAATTCTTGAAAATATCAGAAAGTTTAACGAAGTTGACATTCCAATTTTCAGCCTTGCTTTTGGTCAAGGTGCAGACTTTGATTTTACCAAGAAAGTTGCCGCCCAGAATGACGGTCTTGGTAAAAGAATATACGAGGATTCGGATGCCGCTCTTCAAATTGCAGGGTTTTACCAAGAAATTTCAGCTGTTCTAATGAGAAACATCTCTTTCAAATATGTTGATGGTACTTTAAATGAGTCAACAGTGACTCAAACTGATTTCAACACGTATTTTAAGGGCTCGGAACTCGTTGTCGCCGGAAAGGTAGAAGATATGACAAAATTACAAGATGGCGTTGATATTTATGCTAGAGGAGTCAACAGCGAGAAGGTTGCGCTTCGAAGACCTTTAATATGTGTTCTGCCGCCACCGCGACCATTTCCTCCAATTATACCCGCCCCCTCACCGCAACCTCAACCAAAACACCCAAACATGATGGAAAATCTATGGGCTTATCTCACAATTAAACAGCTACTTCGAACTAAGGATGGTCTGGATGACAAAGATGAAATTAAAAACATTGAAAAGAAAATTTTGGACATGTCTTTGAAGGTAAATTAATTGGATATTTTTAGAATTTTTTTTTAATAAAGAAGACTATAAGAACTATGAAAAACATACAACTTGAGTACTTTTTAAATTTTCAAAATTTTATTAACTTTGTTGTTTTTTTATGATAGTATCAATTTGTTACTCCTTTGACGTCAATGGTCGTGACCCTTCCAGACGATTCCAAACCTAACCTTAAGAGTGTCAACACAGACGACGTGCCGCAAAGTATGTTCAAATGATTTATGATACACGTATCCATCGTATTTCTCCGGTGAACAATCATGGTTCATCGACAAAGTAATCTTCATATATTTTTAATTAAATATTTCAGTAATGAAGAAACTAACTGTCCAATTTTTGAGTGTATTTTTGCGTACTGGAAATACTGCAATATGAGACTTTTTAAATTCATTGACACTACATAATAACCAGCTTTTTTGAAATGACCTTTCTGTTCTAAATGAAACATGAGCACAGGACTCATGATAACTTTTATTTATAAATTGGTCTATCATACAATTAATTGTTACGCGTGTGTAGAGATGACTATTTTGGCCCGTATAAATTGTATATTTTTTGTTTTACTAACAGGCGAGTCTTTCTTGACTTTACCATCACGTAAATATAGCATTGGTGGGGCTATACAAGGCATGTATGGTTTACCCGGGAGAAATATGATGCCCCCTGCTCTGCTTGGTGAGTAAATTTAACACTGGGGAATCATTAGATTTCGTTGGGGTTCAATTTTCCTGGAATTCTCAGGTATCCCACTCCAGGAATGACCTAGCTGCAGATTTGTAGCGTTATGGTTTTATATATTTTTATTTGACCATAACGTTATGGCAAAAGACAAATAACTAAAACCATAACGCTAGTAACGCTACATATCTGCAGCTATGAATGACCATCCTCAGCGAATTAATGAAGGCCTACAAAGTTATGTTTCCTTTTGTATATGTATAGATGAATTTACAAATTCGATTATATGTATAGATGAATTTACAAATTCGATTCCACAATCTTTACAGTTCAAGCAATCCACGAAATTGCCCCCCCCAAGAGCATTACATGTTTTGATTCCTAAGTAGTATGTAAATTCATTAATTTACATGGTCATTTCTTGGGCAAAACTTCATCATTAATTATTAATTAAGCTTGTGTATTTTTTCATATCACGCATACAATGTAAAAAAGTCGAAAATGTATTAGATATTATTTCAATTTAATGAATTAACAATTAACGGATTTTTTTCCATCTATTTAGGTAATCGGTCTCCTCAAATCTCTTTTGATCCTTTTGGTGCATCCATGTCGAGGAGAAGAAACTTTAATCGTCGAAATTACAGAACTTCAACTACCACTACCCATTCGCCTCTTTCAACGATATCTCAAGGTAATTTTGTTAAATTCCATGCGTCTTTTGAAATGCTACGAAAAAAAAACCTATATATGAAAATATACATTTAAAATGTGTAAAATGTTGATGATTAATCTTAAGTCGTTATAAATTCATGACTGAAGTTCAACTTTTAGCCAAAAGAATGAAAAGAGTAAAATAAATCGGTATCAATAATGAAAATTTATTAATTAGTTCCAAGCTTTTCAGACATTAAGTTTTTTGTCCTTAGTTTTACCAATTTATATGAATGACATCCGAAAAATCTGCAAGTATGAACGGTGGACGCTTGCACACTCTACTATCTCAACATCAAAATTTGAACTGTTTAAATCGTTATTTGAAATCCTTCTCTGCTATATCTAATTAAAAATATAGAGATTACTTAAGAGAAGAAATTTTAAATGGTGAAAACTTCAAACCTCACTCCTTGAATTCCTGCTATCAGTGTGTGTGTAGCAATGGCTTCGCCACGATGTGTAGATCTGTACAATGTATTACTCCAAATACTGAAAATGGTTAGATTTTGTTTAATCGAATATATATACATTTGTGGTATCTTTCCATTATATAAACATACAGAGAGAAAATATCTTCAATTCTGTATGAAGTTTTTCAGAGGTCAGAGGTCAGTACATGGCCGAATCACACGGCGCAATAATATATACCGGTACATAAATATAAAATGACTTGCTCTTCTTGCTTTTCATGTATAAAAAATGAACAAAATAAGCAAGTGAGATAGCCTAATTGTTTTATTTACAACGTAAACAAGTACTACATACATTTTTGGCGATCGATTAAACCTATGTACATAGAGAATAGGCCTATACCGATAGAAACTAGCCTTTGTTTACTACATTGTAGTTTTATGTCACTTTTGTCAGCTGTATGCACTGTCTCTAACGTTTATCCTTATTTTTTGGTAGAACTTAAGTTAAATTTCACGATATAGACTAAAACTTAATTTTTTTTTCATTGAATTCTACTCACGATAAATTTGTGAATCTGTTGGAAAACATCAAAGCATTGAATTCACGCAACGAACAGCTGACAAACACCTCGATCGGCGCTGTCGTAAGTACTTCAATGTAAGCTGTCGTTAGTGTCTCCATGTTTACATCATAAATATGCCTTTAGTTACTGGAATCGTAGATTGAATGTTTTTGATCAAATTCAATACTTGATTGCAAATTAACTGCTCGGACAAGTGTCTCAATCCATAGGATCCATCCGTCCCTTTCAGGCGACCGAATTTCCTCCAACTTTTTATCATCAATCTTCGGACGTGTTTCTTGTGTCTTTTCAGCAATGATTATCAATTTTCACAAATAAAAATATTCCAAGACGACAATCTGTTCACTTTTACTGACCACAAGTGGCATTTAACAAAACATTCCCTTCGAAATAGAATTCTAAGCCTGACGAATTCGAAGCGTAACCGCCTTTCAAGCCGATTTACACCTTGCGTACTTTTTTTTTTTGAAGGAAATCTACGGCGACCGGATAATGCAATATTTATATCCGAATATATTAAATTTAATATTTAATTGTCCATCTCAAATGTATATATAAGTAATAAATAACAAGTGTGTGTGTTCAATGTGAATTGAACGATCGGTACCTGATCAAATCTTCTGAGAAGGCCTTCGGCTTTCACAGGATTTGATCACGTGAACTTCAATTCCCATTGAAGTTTATAAACTTGTTATTTATTTCTTAAATAAGCGATCTATGTAATTTTGATTTTTGTACAAGTAAAAGTCTGTCATCTGTTGAACATAATATATACATTCTCTTTCCAAAATAATAGAGGATGTACCTTTTCAGCAATGAGTCTGCTCTTTTTTGCCAAGTGTAAAATGAGCATTTATTCCACTATGTGTACACACGCTGAATATACCTAAGATAAACAGAGCACAAATCATGAAACAGAAATATATATTGTCTATTTTTACGACAAAAATTATTGTAATAACCATAAAAAGTATATTTCTATAAATTTGACAAGTCTTTTCAAAAACCTCAAACATTATGAAAACAAAAATACCACGCTTGTCCAAATGAAAGGAAGAAAGAAAATTTATCCAAACTTATCAACCTTAATTTTGAAAATTTATATATATTATATCGTGCAGACACTATTTACAATTGCAAAAAATAGATGGAAAATAGGAGTGTAGTTGGATTAAAAAAAAAATCAACACATTCACAACAAAGAAATATCACGTGATCATTCTGCGAGTAAATACAGAACTTTGTAAATACGTCAAAAATGCATGTGTTATTATTCAGGAACAATTAACAAAATAATACAGAGAATTTTAAGCCACATACATTTGCAATTATCTTGTTATCTATTTTTTACAAGTATTGTCAAACTCTTTTTGATAATATGTACTTGTGTGGAGCTCGCAAACAGTAATAAGCTCAAAATTTCATTAAAACATAACAAATTGAAAGAAGGAAAAAACTTGGACCTCTTAAAAACGTTGAAGGTTAGATCAGGTACCATATTGAGGAGTAAGCATTGTCCGTCTGCTCTTGATCATGATCGGACAAACAGGGAAAATTGTAGACAATTTAGTGTGAAAATAATGACCTTCTAAAGATTTAGCTTATAATTATTTGAAATAATAACGAAATAATTTTACAAAATTAATCATTTTATAATTTTTAAAAAAAATTATACAATATGTACATTTATTAAATTATCTATATTCATAAATTCTTGTTTATATATATTTTTCTGTTTTCTGATTCAAACCTTTTAAAAGCGAGCGAATTTTTTCACAGTTAGTACGCCAAGGCCAGCAATGAAGCGTCAAGCACTACCATCCTTCATTGTTCAAGTGTCCAAGGTGAACATGTGCTTTGATTTATCGTTGAAAAAGTCAAAGACCTACAATATAATCAAGATGCTAAAGCAAAGGAATGGTAAGTGGTACATTGAAAAAATTAAGCCCTTATCAAAGCCTTTCATTAGTTCATTTATTCGTCTAATAATTATACATTGTATTAATTTGTTTTTACTGGTAAATAAATTCAAATACTATAGGAGAGATACTAGATTTTGTCTTGAAGCATTCACAATTTGCTTATCAATAACAAACAAAATAAAATGTTATACTATACGATATAAACTATTTTCTTTTGTAAAGGCTGCGCCATGCTTGCAAATACTGCCAGCAAACAAAACAGGGCCCTCAAAATGTTTGCCAGCTTGAAGGTAGAAAAGTTCAAAGGAAAAAAAATACAGGAAACGATCAATGTTGATGCAATTAAAAATTTCGCAAGTTTGCAATGCGACATGGAAGGAATAAAATTGGACGTCGAGAAGGATCAACACAGACTCAGAGTAAAGGCGGAAATTCACGGACGCCAACGGAAACAATATGACGGAATTCTCAGTATGTTGACATTTTCCATGTTTAATTTATTTATTATAATTTATTTTTTTTTAAAAGCGTTATTAAAACTGTGTGCGTTTACATTATTGCTTATAAATTTCAATATTTGTGGCTTTACATTGGTAACTTGTGCTATTAGTTTCCTAAAATTAAATTTTAAGTTTTTATTGTTTATATGCTGTAAGCAGTGAAAACATTCTTTAAGCAGTTTGAAGTTTAATTCTTTGAAATGGTATAGAGTATAATTCTAGTAAGCAGTATAAAGTGAAAGTCTTTAAAGCAGCATTGTTTTTATTTTATTTTTTAGGTCACTTTGTCAATATGAAATGCAAGATAGTCAGACAATTTTCAAGAAAAGGGAAAATAATGGCGAAAGTTAAATGCAGACGACGTGGAAGACCTACACTAAAGTTTAAAGCCATTCAGAAGACATCGTCATCCGGTGATTCCTGCTGGTTCCTTAACAAGAGAATGGTCAGTTCTCTGAACATTAGTCCCACAAACTACGAGATCACGCCATGATTTTCTATTATCCATATTATCATACAAAGCCATACTTTTATATGCATTTTTTCTCTCCATTTAAAGTTGTCAGTACAAATATTTTGTTGTTGTTGATATCGTTGTTCGTATTTTTAATGAATAAGGGCTATTTGATATATTTTTAATTAATCTTAAGATATCCTCAGATTATTCATCATATTTGCAGGGGATCATCATAATTACTGTGTGATTAAATGATCACTAATTGTTAGTAATGCAAATATTCTAGTTTTCTTTTCACATTTTTAAAAATAATTTTTATACCTATTTCATTACATTGTTAACAATAAATTTGCATATTGATACATGTACCGTTCTTTTGTGTAAATTAGTAACTTGATTGTAAATGTATTTTTAACTGCAAAATAAATTTATTTTTGTACGTTTTATGATGTTTGTTAATAAGATTTTTGTAATAAAGAAAATTTCAGAATATTGAATTTCATATTTTTAAAAATACACATGTAGAGTTCAGTTTTAATCTATAGAATAGAATACAGAAAAGAAAAGGAGGAACTGTGATACAAATAGTAATATTACGAACTTTATTTACGATCTCTTTACCAAATTAAGGTGTTTTTGTTATCGGGGCACAAAACCCAGTACATCAAAGAAAAACCTTCAGAACAGGTGATGAAAAACAACCATCATCAAAAATCTCAATCCTCATGTTTCCGAAGCCCCCCATCTAGGTTAGCATGCGAAGAAGAACCACTTGCTGTGGCCTTTAATTCGACATTCAGATATATCGACGACGATTTATCAGTTAACAATACTAGTAGTTATTTTCATTAATGAGTCGACTTGATATATCCCAATGAAGTTTTGAAAATGACTACACAGAGTTTGCAACATCAATTTCATATTTGAATGAGACCGTATAAACCGAGGTCTAGTATCGCATTTGGTTTTTGGCACGAAATAGACCCTCGCTGTAGTTTTGATCGAACTGTGGGTAAAAAAAAAACGGCACAATCACAGTTCGGAAATGGAGAATTCTCATGTACATGTAATTATGTTAATTTAAGATCAGATAGAGAAAAAAATAAGATAATGTTAAAAATGGACCAAAGATTAACATCCGAAAAGTATTCAGAGATTTTTATACATTGTATGGAAAATGCTTTAAAGGAATTCTACGAAGGATATAAAGTTTGTCTGCAAATTTTCATGTACATGTAAATACCCTACACTTTGAGATATCTTAAAAGATATTATGTACCTCAATGTAGCAAATAAGAGAGAAGGATATGGAGATAACGAACAGTATTCAATCTCATAGTCCATAAAAATACAAAATAAAGCAGAGAACACGGACCCCCGAAACATCAGAGGTGGGATCTGATGCCTTTGAGGAGTGAGCATCCCCTGCGGACCGGTCACTCCTGCCGTGTGCTTCTTGTCATGATCAGGAAATAACGGAAAAATCCGTCATCAATTCAGTGTATAAATAATGGACTAACAATTGGTATGAAAAACTTTAGTCAGCATTTGACTCAATGATAAATTTTATCTGCTGACAAGGTCATTGTATCGACCATAGAATATTTAAAATCAAACAAAAATTAAAATGTATAATGATGAATAATATTGAACCATTGGTTTAACATATTTTGGAGATAAAACGTTGATAATTTTATTTGAACTTCGACCTCTAATTATGTCTTTGCCCTTTACTTTTCCTAAAGCACGAAAAAAAATTTACGAATGTCCAAATATAAAGGTTCTACAACAATGCAATCAAAAGATATTCTTTTTAATAACGAAGTAAGTTACAGTCAAATACGTAAATAAAACAAGAATATTATCAGTCTTGTTTAACGTGTAATATCCCTCTGATAAGAGAGATAACTTTCTATTTTTTCCATGAAAATCAATGAATTGTCTCGTCAGAATTTACAGAGTTTATAAATGAGGGCCATTTTACAGTCAAGTCAGTCAAATATGGTACAGATATTGATGTCTAAATCTATTTCCAATATTTTCATTGATTATATATAATATTTTATAAAATGTGTATATTGAGATAAAGCATCCCCTGCCGACCGGTCACACCCGCTATAGCTCCTTTTCGTAATCGGGAAATAACAGAAAAATCCGTTGACAACTCACTATGAAAAATGGCCTAATAATCATTTAGAAATGAAAAGTCAGTCAGCATTTGAGTTAATGATAAACTGTGTTTGCTGACAAGGTAATTTCATAGAACTAACGAAATGATAACATTAAACTGCTGATATTCTTGCTTCATCAACTTGTTTGTCATTAAGTTACCTAGATTTAGAAATTGTACTCGTAGAGCACGCTCTTCCGTATCAAATCAACTGAGAGATGTAAACAAAGTTATACTGCATATAAGTAAGGGAAGGTGGCGATTCAAAGGTTAATTGAATTTAAAGTCTTTAAGTTTATCATTTAGCCCTGTTTTTAGATAGCCATTTACGTCTTTTTTAAGTAATCGATCCAAATATGAAACAAATGTGTCAGTCTGTGGTATATTTTATTTAATGCTCACCACGGAATTTATAGTGTCGACATAAAAATGGAAATTACTATTGTTAATTAACAATGCGCCATTGACAAATGTATATGTTCGAGACCACAACAAGTGCTTTCTTCTTTTCATGTAAATGATTTTGAGCAACTTCAGCTTCACATGAATTCAAAAATAGGTCTGCTAGTAACGAGGCGCAGTGGGAATTCCAATATATGGCTGGAAGACGTAGTCCCCAAAAACAACTTAGTTAGTGTCATTTAGAAACTCGAACATTTGTTTTTCAAAATATCAATTTCAGAGTACTTGCATGACCAATGACAAAGTAAGTGAATTTACGAGACAGCGCCTTTTTATAGTTGAAGTTTCAATACTAGTTACCGTTCACGGTAGCTCAGTCGGTAGAGCGCTCGCTCCGTGATCAGGAAGTCGTGAGTTCGTATCTCGGTCGTTAACTGACCTAGTCGTTAAAATTGATAGCAACTGTTCCTTCGCCATGCGCTCGGCACTTTGAAGTGAAAGTTGCGGGTCCTTTGGATGAGACCTTAAAACCGAGGCCCTGTGTCTGCGGCAGGCGTTGGCACAATAAAGATCCCTCACTGCTCAATGGCCCTGAGTGCCGAGAAAAGGTCAAAAATTCTCGAGATGGTCGTTAAACAATATACAATCAATCAATCAATACTAGTAACCCTAAATGTAACTCTGTTGTAATGAGGATTTTGAACAAACAGGAGCTATTCTAACCAGACGTTTATGTATAGTCATACAAAGACGATTTGATGATTCAAAAATTTCCAGATTGTAATTTTTTTGAATCCTTAAACAATTTATATGTCGTGCATCTCAAGCAATTCTCATTCTTCGATATTGGATTTACTGGTTATTACTTTTCCATAAACATCGAAAGCCCTTGTATAAAATTTAGGCTTCGTCTATTTTTTTTCACTGCACTCGAAAGAAAATAAAATTTACATTGAATGTTGGCTTCCACTCAATTCTCTAGCTTTAGACATTTTATTTGCAGCATGGACTTGATTTTGTTTTATCTAAAAGATTTTGTTTCAAATTATATAACATTTTAGAGTTTTTATTCCCTTAAAATATAACGAGTAAGAGTAGAGTCTTTTTTTCCTTTAGCTATATGCTACCTTTTAAGCAGAAAAAAAATCGCCTATAGTTTTTTTTCTATTTGAGATTACAGATCAACTGTAACTCTAATAACTTCCAATCACAGGATTTAAGTCTCCTTCACACCTCTTCTTAAAAGTCAACCAATTCTCTTGCCAAATCTTTACTTTAAGCCAGATTTTGATATGTTTATAAAGTCGTGAACAAAATATACAAACTTGGACAATATTTCAATGGAGACTTTAAGAGTTAACTTTAGAAAGGGGTTTTCAAACATTTTCAAGCCTATGAATCTGACAGACCATTCCACCAAATACATTTTCGCTAGCCAGGGGTTTTCGATCCAAAACTCGAAAAATAACACAGTAATGGATTAAAGGTGTTGTCTGATCAAAACCAAAATGAATTGGACCTACAACGTAGCAACATATAGCGAGCAAGATGAACAAAATGAATAAGACCTACAAAGTAGCTACATGTAGCGAGAATCATTAACTTCAAATCGCATCAGTACTTTCAGTACTATGATTTTAACTTCATACATGTATTTCTGTTTATAAATAATAATACAGATTCACGGGACGGTTAATTTAAGGAAAACACGATAAGAAGATGGATGAGATTCTAAAACTCATTGTACTGTTGATGGTCAACATCGCTGTTTGTGGTAAAGTAGTAAACAAGGTAATAAAGTTATATCAAAGTCTAAGAATTTTATGTTCTCAGACTGTTAATAACTAACAAATGTTTATAATTTTTTTTAATTATAATATGTTTATTATTAACTAAATGATTAAATAATAATTTACTATAAATGATTCATCCAGACACTACTTTGATTTTTTTTAATGAATTTCTTAATCCAGTCATGTTAAGTATTGATTAATATTGAAGAAATATGTTTGAAACCAGTGTTTTTTTTCTTTTTTGTAAAGAGCACTATAGAGAAGCCACGAATCTATTTTCTTCATGTGAATTCGGAAATAAAATATAGATTCTCAAAAACAGTCATCACAAGCAAAGTTGTTAATTCTGGGGAAGGGGCATCCGAAGCTTTCTATGACGTCACACTTCCAAACGAAGCTTTTATAACATCTTTCAAAGTGTAAGACTTCCAAATTTCAAATGTATCATTTTTTTCCAATCTCATGTAACAAAAAAAAAATTAAGAAGTGTTTACAAACTTTGCATAAAAAGTGATTAATAGAACAGATACGATGAAACTGTGCATTGGATCTTAAAAGATATTTTTCTTTTTAATTCTTTTTTAATCTATAGCATAATCAATGGTACCGAATACAATGGTCAAGTTAAAGAGAAAACTCAAGCAAAGCAGGAATATGACAAAGCCAAGTCACGAGGGCAGAGTGCTGGTCATATAGTTACAAAGTGAGATTCTTCAATTTACATTAGATATTTATTCTAAATGAAACGTGTTTCATGTTTACTTTTCAAGGTGAATCATTATTCATTGCTCCGCAGAAATATCTAGTATACAGGATTTTAAAAAATACGTCTGTTCACTTGCATGTACTTTTAGTATATTAAACAATGTTCATAATAATATCTTGAATATTTAAAGGTTCAGTTTTATATTATTACATTTCGTTCATCTGTTGTTTTGTTTTTTTTTTCAGACCGAGAGATTCCAATAAATTCCAGGTTCAAATACACGTTGCTGCCGCCGAAAAGGTGACGTTCGAATTAATTTACCGGGAACTTTTACTCAGAAGACTGGGGAGGTATGAACAGTTGATTTACATAGATCCTGGGCAAACTGTGGACGACTTTCAAGTTGAGGTTACTATTGAGGAATATAGGAATATAACATTAGTTAATGTACCGCCTATACGGAACGACAAATTGACGGATAAAAAGAAAGGTAATAAAGCAAATGTTTGTAGTACATATGTTCCAGAACAGGGGGTGGCTTATTATTCTATATCTTAAATTTATTGCATGTTGCATTATAATTTTCTGTTACATTTTTCTCTGTGCCACTGTAGCTTTAGGAAAATATTCTATATGATACGCAAACATTTTTCCTACAAGGTTTGCCAAATTATGAAAATTTGTTCTTTTGTTGATAGAAGTACTATTTTTTATTTAAAGTTCAAAAATGTCTATGGTGGGGTAAAAATTACGTGCTATTTTTCTGTTTAAACATAAATCTGCAGTGTTTTATTTCCTTGTATTAAAATATACTATTTCTTGACTGTTTTAAAAATATGAAATTTGTAACATATATGTATATCACTACAATATCATAATTTCTTTTAAATTGCAGTAATGAAATTTAAAACCAAACAAAATCGGTACGCAGTACTGTAACATTCTTTTAAATTCAATAAACATTGATCGTTTGGATTACAAACATTACAAATGCAAAACGCCATATCCAAAAATAAAAATGAAATGCCAGATTTGTGAAGCAAAGCTCCTTATCTTAAATTTAGAATACACTATTCGCTATTCATATAAGTAGGGTTAAATTAAAATTGACCTTTGATATTTTTTTTTCATTTTGTAGGACAAAACAAAGACGCAGACATTGTACGCCTCTCTCCAACTCAAGTGAAGATTTCCTACTCGCTGACAAAGTCACAACAAGAGATCTTGTCTGAACAAGGGATATCCGGACAATTCGTAGTCCAATATGACGTTGAGAGAGAGAAGAATGCTGGAGAAGTTTTGGTAATTAGCTTAATTAAGATTTGATTCAGTCCGAAAACTTTACAAGAAGAGGTCGATAGGCCACAAGCTCAATTGACCTCTTCAGTTCAGAACATTAAGTAATAAGGTTAACTGGCAAAAAATCCCGTGAGAGAGCACGAATTGAATATATTTAAATCTAAACACTCTGGGGATGTTTCCATATTAATTGTATTCAAACTATATAACTTAAATTAATCTATCAAGATGTTTTCCTATACATTTGATATCCTATTAAAATGTGATATTTCCCTACCCCTGGAGACAGAATCTAGCTTCTAAACTTTCTCATGATGCTTCTGAATTAATATGATTTAACATGATTTGTTATTCCTAAAAAGTATTTTTATTGATTCATCAATTATATTCCTTTGTATAACTTGTTATTTGTGGCCTAACCCTACCATCGGGGGTTATGATTGAACATACTAAACTGTATATTCTAAACTAGCTAAAGATGTTTCCAAATCAGTATGACTCATTGCTCTTGAGACGAAGATTGAGATTTTTTTCTATGTTTTCCTGTGTTAAGCTTTGAACGTACATATTGGTTCCATCCTACCACGTGGTCATGAATTGAAAAAAAAGTGATTCTACACTACCAAAGCATGCTTCCTTATCAATATGACCTACTAATACATTGTTGTTATAGAGAAAAAGTTTTTTCCTATGTGTTCCTATGTAAACTTAACCCGCTTACGTGTATCTGATCGCACCCTAACGTCATGATTTTAACAAATTTGATTTTTCACTTCTATTTCTTAATTGATAGATTTTATATATGCCTTCACTATAGACTGTATGATAAATAAGTTTACATTTAATACATACGAGGGTTGATCCAAAAGTAATGTCACAGTGTCAATATCTTTTATATTTGGCGTCATATTATCAAAAACAATATACCAAAAGATGCACAGATATAAATCTAATTAACATTGAAATTTTGATTTAATTATGTTTATTTAAATTTATTTTATAGATATTTAAAACAAAGAGCATATGAGGTGTCGCCGCGTCACAACGGAACGTCACGTTTTATAGTGTATTTTTATTTAGAATGAAAAAGACAAACAAATTAAAACGATTCTAAAAAAGTACTTAATCTCGCATTTTTTTAAAGACACAATTCTTGTCATTTTCTAGTATTTAATTGAAAATTTAATGACGGCACTGGTATTTGTGATCATAAAAATTGTTGTTTTACTCTTGAATTGAACAAAGGGATTGTAGCAATGGGGAAAAACGGCTCGACGAGTTGTAATGCATTTGTTGCTTCAAAATACGGGATTGATAACAAGCGACAGTAACGTTAATTAATCAGACTTACAGAATAAAAAATCTAAATAAGAGACATCTTAATAGATGGTTTCAGCAATTTTGGGCGGGTGGTTGGTCACTGAATGACCAGCAGAGAACAAAAAGACCGAAAGTTAGGAGATCGGACGGAAATAATCAATGGTGTCTGACGTCAAAAGAGACAGACGTATAGAGAGACATGCATATGTGAATTTCTTTGCTACTGTTCAAAAAATTTTGACAGAGGGCTTAATTATGAAACAAGTGAATGTATAATGATACCAAGAACAATTAAAAAAGTGGAACTGGTGAAAGTGTTTACGAATCACAGATATTTTTTTTAGTGAAACGAAAGGGAAACGCTTAAAAGTATGACGGTGTGTATCCGTCATATGACGTTATATTTAGGTGCGGCGAGTACTATAAATGCACATTGTTAAAAATCCAATATTTTGGAAAGTATACATCATATTCCTTTGAATTTTTCAGGTCTGATTTGAAATAAATATAGCTTTTATTATGTTTAATTTTGTTGCTTTACGTCGATTTATAGCTATTTTATCAAACTTGTGACATTACTTTTGGATCAACCCTCGTACTTTCATATTTTCTAGTAAATACAATACAATTATTGACTCATTGGTGTTGAATGTGGTTTGTTATTCTCCAGAAAAATATCAATATTGACCGAGACGTCACAGTATATCAGTGAAGGTCCTCTAGTTTAGACCTATATTTAGCATCCTGGGCCATTGAGTACTGACTCTCTATAATGTCATTGTCTTTTTAAAAACTTTAACGGATAATAGCTTTGATTAACGTCAAATATACTTTGCTTATTTCAAACGTAAAACTGACGTTTTGAGAGTACTATGGCGAACAGAGCGCGCAAAATTTACATGCTTGTGAATAAATTATTGTTGTGTTACCAGTCGTCAAGTATGCTAACTATTGCTAAGGATTGGCTCTCTAATGGCAAGGTCTTCCGTGAATTTTTTTTTTTTTGAAATTCCATCCGATATACCCGCGACTCCTTACATCCAAGTCCGGTATCTTTCAAAGAAACAATCACTTTCTATATCAACGCCTTAGGTTGAAAGCAGCAATCAAACTCTGCCCTCCCGATCAAGAGGCGAAATGTCCAGCAACTATATATGCTACCGTCACCGATTAGATAAAAAAAATTGGAGAGGGGTTCGAAAATAGAACTAATAAAATTAATGCTATGTATAAGTTGTTTTTGCTATTCTCTGCAGGTTATGGATGGTTATTTTCTCCATTTTCTGGCACCAGATGGACAGGACCCCATGCCCATGGACATTGCTTTCGTCTTGGACAGAAGTGGGTCAATGAAAGGAAAGAAAATGAAACAACTTAAAAAACCCTGTTAAAAGTCCTAGGCGATATAAGTTCAAACGATAGGTTTACGCTTATAGCCTTTGATAATAGGTTAAAGTTTTGGCGAAGAGAATTATCTCAAGCGACGATTACTAACTTAGCAGATGCAAAACAGTTCATTCAGAACACCGATGCAGACGGAAGTAGGTCCATATATACTACTTCTTTTTTTATTTGAAACTTTATTAGAATTGAGCCCTGTGGCAACGCACTTTGAAAAAATTACGCACTTTGAAAAATTTTTTCAAAGTGCGTTAAAATTGGGACAAAATCAACGCACTTTTTTCAAAGTGCGTTAAATTTGGGACCAAGTCAACGCACTTTGAAAAAAATTTTCAAAGTGCGTTAAGAGTCTACATCAATATATTTTACCATGGAGAAACTTAACGCACTTTGAAAAAAAAAATCATATTTTAGTCATGGAAAGATTTTATTTGTTATTTATCTTTCAAAAAACTAAGCCTAACCCTAACCTCAAAAATGAATTGATTTACTCCCGTCGAAAAGAGGAGAAGGCGGGTATAAGATCCCTCAGTCCAAATCTTTATCTTTCCAATACATAGGTGTCGGTAACAAACGGGGGAGGGGAGAAATAAACCTAAACAGGGTACGCTGCATTTTCAATGCTTATACGATGTATATATCTTTTCAAAATAAGTGGGGAGTTTAGCCCCCATCCCCTCCCCTGGCCCTTCGCCCAGTCTCTATGTCTATGCTATACTCAAAGCATTCATGTAATTATGTATTTACCTAACTGGTATGACGTTGAAAACTTTCAATATTAAATGAGTAAATTAAAACAGATGAAAACTAGAAATTTTTAAGTACAGTAAAACGTATGAGAGAGAAAGAATTTTCATAATTTTGAACAATCAAATTGGCCCCTTTTTTATTATGATAAATGCCAAGTTGCTTAAAGCTGTCATCTGTTAGTGCCCCCTATACACCTTTACATCTACTTATCAAAGACTAGAATTTAAAAAAAAAAAAAAAGAAGAAACGAATTAATGAACTTAAACAATCGTCACTCTTTTTTTAAGACCCTTTAATTTTCCCTTTTATTTTATCAAAACCTTAAATATTTAAAACGTCAATATCTCAGGTCCTACAGTGACTTTATCATAAAAAAGATATCAAACCAGGATTTGTTATTTATCATACCGATTATTTGAGGAACACTGATCAATCTTAACATTTTTTTTTCAAAGTGCGTTGATATGGTCGATATTAATGCACTTTGAAAAAAAATTTTTTTTTTCAAAGTGCGTTAGCTTGGTCCCAAATTTTAACGCACTTTGAAATTTTTTTTCAAAGTGCGTAATTTTTCAAAATGCGTTGTAACAAGCCCTCTACAAAAACTTTGAACTTCTTGACTCCAGGAGTTCTCTATTTCTTTTGATTTGTATGATAGTGACAGACATCAATTTGGCTGTGATTGAAGGTTTAAAACTACTGTCTAAAAATACTCAAGAAACCAGAGCCCCGATCTTAGTTTTCCTCACTGACGGAGAACCTACCTCCGGCGTCACCAAAACCAAAAGAATTCTTGAGAATATCAAAAAGTTCAACGACGCTGACATTCCAATTTTTAGTCTTGCATTTGGTCGAGATGCAGACTACGATTTTACCAAGAAAATCGCCGCCCAAAATGACGGTCTTGGTAAAAGAATATACGAGGATTCGGACGCCGATCTGCAAATTGCAGGGTTTTACCGAGAAATTTCAACGGTTCTTATGAGAAACATATCTTTCAAATATGTTGATGGTTTTTTAAATGAGACTTCTTTGACACAGACCAATTTTAACATATTTTTTGAGGGATCGGAATTGGTTGTCGCCGGAGAGGTAGAAGATGTGTCAAAATTACAATCTGGAATCGAAGTATTCGCTACAGGACTAAACAGCTTCCAGCTGACACTGGAGAGATCTGCAATTTGTTTTTTGCCGCCACCACGTCAAGTTCTTCCTATTCCACCATATCCGACTCTACAACCCCAACCAAAACACCCAAACGTGATGGAAAATCTGTGGGCATATCTGACCATTAAACAACTGATTCGTAAGAAAGACGGTATTGATGACAAAGAGGAGATCTCTGACATTGGAAAGAAAATCTTGGACATGTCTTTGAAGGTTCATAAAATGAAAGTCTTCATGTTTATTCATAATCTACAGTTTATATATTTATTAAGAATAAGAGAATAAAGAAGATCAAGATTTGTTTTGATTAGCATGTTTGCATATAAAAAATTTACATATCTAACTATTTATTTGTTTTTGTTTTGATAGTATCGATTTGTTACCCCTCTAACATCAATGGTTGTTACCCTACCAGATGATTCAAAATCTAAGAGTTTCTACACGGACGACACACAAGGTAAAAATAATCATAATGTTAAAATATTTCTTTGACAGGCAATCAAGATTGTTTGTTGATATTTTTCGAAGATTTAATGGCAGAGAATTTTGCACAATTATCTGTGTGCTAATTCATCCATACAGAGAAAGAATTATCATTTGAATATTTCTTTTGTAAGGAAAGTCGAGGTCTTTTGTTAATTTAATATTCTTCTGAGACTCAGACTCTCAAACAATGTTTCTTGTCAATATCAAGATGCTTAAAAGTGACACATCAAGTGCTAAGTGCAGATTGAAATACATGCGCAGTTGCACAGTATGTGATTGTAAAATGATTGCCAGTTTTATCGTATTGTGATCAGGAAAAAGTTATAATTTTATTATTTTTAATTGTAACAGATTAACAAGTAAGAATACTGATTGTGATCCTCATCTAGTTCATATCTTTGTTTTACTGTTATAATTACAGTGAAGTCCTCTTCGGGTTCACAATTCAAGAGATACAATAACAGAAGACGTAAAACAGATGTACAAGTTATGGATGGTGCTTTAATCCCAAGGTCTCCAGTGGATCTTGGTGGTAAGTACATGTATTGATATTCTGTCAATAGAAAACCCCTAATTGACAGAATGACCACTTACGGTATTGGAATTCAGCATCCATCTCCCTCATTTTTAATTTTTATCCATTAATATTCAACGATATTCACAGGTATTACATTCAATTATTTTTTTTAGAGTTTTATAAGAGCCGGTTTTAAAGTAAAAAATACACAAAAATTAAGGAGAAAGTTAGATTTATTAGAAAGGATTATTTGCTTAAGCCATTTTTTTCCAGACAATATTCTTTCAATGTGTACTTTCTCCAAGCTAAAGAATAATTTTTATCTATTTAGGTACATTCTTCCCTCAAATTGCATCCAAGTTTAATACACAATTAAGGAGGCTGACTAATTTCAAGGATGTCGGTACCGGTACCCGCTCTCAACTGGCATCAATATTTGATCCAATCTTTAATAGGGGAAAGTTCAACAACCCATTTTCCAGAACTACCAGCACTAAAACTATTTTACCTGGTAGGGACATTCAATATAATTTCTTTTGCAGATATATAGATGTCAATTTTACACTGTGTACATATTATACAACTATTGTATATGGCAAAATGAGTCATGTAAGTAGAGAAACAAGCTTTTGTAATCAAAATATTTCTACCGAGTGGCGCAGTGGTAAGAGCGTCTGCTCTAGAGTCGAAAAGTAAGGAGTCGATCCTTACGTCGCAGATTCGAATCCTGCTGTGGAACGTGGAAATTGGTATTTCGGATGAGACTGCATAAACCGAGGTCCCGTGGCGCAGTAGGTGCTGGCACGAAAAAGCTCCCTCCCTGCTTAACGGTTCTAAAAGAAGAGTAAAGGACAAAATGTGTAGCTCTCCATCGGCAAGTGGTTGCGTCTCCATATCAGTCAAAAATTCTCGAGACGGACGTTAAACTGTTAAGTACTGTTAAGTCTTCCCGGAGCTTTAAATGCATTTAAAACGTAACACTACATTTGCAAAGTTGATTTTGAGTTTTATTTTTAAATTATGTACGCCCAATTCATGTAGAGAGTTCTCTCAGCTATATATAAACAGATTTGTTACAATTGTACGATATCATATGACATCGTTGATTATGTGTTGACCATTTCTTCTTTTTTGAAGTGTTTCACATAAATCGCTTCGGCGCGGCCGATTAACACAATTATTTTAAATGTTTTGTCACGTAAATAAACTCGTTGCAACCTTTTGAACCCGAAATGTGCTTGGGAAAAGTTATATTATTTCTCTGGTACAAAATATTTCAAATTAACTTAAACTTACCGACAAATCTGAGGGTATTTTCTGCTCAATATCGTCATCTGTTTTAAAACAAAGCCATCATACATTTTCCTAAGCAAGATTCAGTTAGAGGGGAAACTTACAGATTTTCACGAAAGATTACCTGCGCCAGGCTCATTTATACAAATATTATGAATTCTGCTTCAATCCACGGGTATAAAAAAGGGTAAATGTCGAACGTATATTTTCGTATGTATTTTGAACACGCTGACATTTACACAAGAGTAATAAAGCAAAGTTATCTAAATTATTCGGATATAATAGATTTTTTTAAAAATGATTAAAACACGTGACTAGCTCTCTGAGATTGAAATAAGATGTAAAGTTTATGACACTCTCTCCATCATTATGTACAGCTTACCGTAAGTTTGCAGTGACGACGTCATATTCAATTATGACGTCATACATTTGTAGTTTAGAGAAGTGCATGTACAGAGTTCTCTGGGATGCCTTATCGTACCTACGAGTGAATCAATCAATCAAAATGATATCATATGAAAGACTTTGGGCTAGAAGAATGGTTATCAGGACTTAGAGGCAGTAGAACTAAGAGTATGTCAAACTTAGGTCCTGAATATATAGTGTTGCAACAAACCTGAAAATAAGGTTGAGCAACAGCTGATATCCAGCGGTTTATCAAACCAGCCGATTAGAAAATGACGTAATAATCAAGTAATGAACATCAACGATGCTTTTTAACACTAGCTTGCTTACAAATGTAGAAAAAAATATGAACACTTTATATATGACGTTCTTTATAAATTTACATCTTGAGTGTAAAGTTACTTCAAAAGATCTGAATCCTAAGTTAGGAATCAATAGTGAGACCTTTGAATGTCTTTCAAAATAATCAATGCGTGTCCATGTAATTCTGAGAAGTATCTGCTACTGGAATTTAGTGGATACTTGAACATTGAACCCTTAGTCAGATTTTGAGGGTTTATTCGATTAATTTTGTTAAAAGCTTTTTAATCTTTGAATGTCTTTCATAAAAGACAAACCCCCGCATATATAATTTTGAAAGGTATAAACGACTGGTATATGAAATTTGTCAGTGGACACTTGAACATTGTACCTAACGTCTGAATTTGAGGGTTTATTTGAATTACTAGTACATGCTTTATAACTTTACTGCCTATATTAAGAAAGAGAAGTGAATCACTTCAATTTAAGTTTTAACCTTGTTACTCATTGTCTAGATGATATACCGGCAGATTTTTTATTACTTTTCTACATGTGTACAATGTACTTTGGTATTTGGACTTTTGCTAAAACAACTAAACATGCATAAAATTACTAGTACCTCCTTCAGAGTCTGGTGTAATAATCAATTACGGTCAGACCGAGAAAAGAAAGGTCATTACGATTCATGCCTAACCATTTTAGGCATTTTATTAATCTGTACAATGCATTCAAAAAGTCATTTCCCAATAAAAATTTTATTGGTTTGATATAAAGATAAGTTTGTCATCTGAAAAATTGTATGAAAAATTTTATGATACAAACAAGTCTTTCCAGAATAACAAAACAAAATAAATAAATAAATAAAGACCTGGTATTGCAAGTTTATTGAACGCGTTCTTAGTGTGAATGCCAAGCATAAAGGTCCAATATTAGGATATACATGCATACACATGCAAGAACATTTAACAATAACAATTTAAGAGATTATTTGAGATATGGAGCTCAAGCATTGTTTTAATATAGATTTTGACAAGTGCTCATTCAGTTTGAGAAATTAAATTATTTCATGAATCTATGTCCTTTGTAAGATTTTTTCATTCAGATTATGACGTAACACTATGTCAAACTCTTTGCTAGGGTTCTAAGGTGGAGTGTGCCAACTTTCCAAAAAAAAAAATTAACAAGCAAAAGAAATAAAAACTGAAATATCCAAACTCTTAAACTAAAATTTCTTGTGGGACGGATGGTGTAATAGGACTTTGTTTCTTGCTTCTTTGTAGCTCTTTTTAAATATTGATTTTCGTCAATATTCAACCTTAGAGCAAAAACAACGCAAGGAAAACAACTTCTAAATGAAATTTTATTATAAAGAAGACTATATTTAAGAAAAAAGGGTGGAGTCCTCTCTCCTCCTACTTTGAACTGGTGGAAGTGAAGGCTCATAACATTTTTAATGAATCCATTTCTTCAAAATTTATTTTTTCAGTATTATTTCCACGATTCAGAATTAACCATATGTATTGTGCGTTTTATCTTTTAGGCACTACAACAAATCCCACTGTGAAGACTCAGACAGCGCCATCCTTCCTTGTAAAAGTATCGAAGGTGAACATGTGCTTTGACCTACCGTTGAAAAATTTAATGACATATGATATTATCAAGAGGACAAATCAAACGAACGGTAAGTTCTTGTTTCAAAAAAGGAATAAGATGTAAAATTTCTCATACCCTCTTTGCACAAATTTCTATGTATTAAACAAATCAACTTCTGGGGACGAAAGGCATTAGTGAATTTTACATTATAATTAGATATCTTCTTTTTTACAAATTCAGAAGCTAAGAATATTACATATACTTGTAGATAATTATGTACATACTATTAGACGAAAAACAGGAACAAGCATATGCATCGCATAGAACGCGTTGTAATATTGAAAGAGTTATAATTTCTTTTTATTAATTTTTTTGAAAGGTTGTGCCATGTTTGCAAAATCTGCAAGCAAACAAAACGGGACCACTGAAACGTTTGGCAGCATCAAAATCGAAAAGTACAGAGTAGGAAGGCTACTGAAAACGTTCAATGTTGAAGCATCTAAAAACCTTCCAAGTTTCGAATGCAATGTGGATGGTATAAAGCTGGGCATCGAAGAGGATCCACATGGACTAAGTGTAAAAGTGGAAATCCGCAGGCGCCAAAGAAAACATTATGACGGGATTCTCAGTATGTTAACATTTTCATATTTGATCATATAAGTACAAATGAGACTTTCTTTTGTGTCCTTTTTTTTTTTACATTTTAAGTAATAGTCTAGAATTTGAAATTCTTCTTGTGATTCATCTGAGCAGTATGAAGTGTTAGTTTTTTTTAAGAATTTTGATTGAAGTATGATTCATTTTCATTTTTAGGTCACTTTGTCAATATGAAATGCAAGACAGTGAAAAGATTTTCAAGAAAAGAAAAATTAATGGCAAATGTATTTTGCAGACGACGTGGAAGACCGACATTGAAGATTAAAGTCACTGAAAAAAACATTGTTATCCGGTAACACATGCTGGTTCCTAAACAGGAAAATGGTGAATCTATTAAATATTAATCCCACAAACTACGAAACTAAACCATAATACATGTATTTTATTGCATGCCCCCTTATACAATGTCATGTCCATTTTATTTCATATCTCGTTCTTTAATGTTCATTATTTTCATGAGTTTTGAATATGAAACATTTGTAATGAAATTTTGAATAAATATTAAAAGTTCCCTCCTGTGACAAAAATTATGTGTAAGGGGTAGGATCATCATATAATTTTGATTGAATGTACATGTAAATCAGTATCATAAAGCATTTATATTGTTTTGAAAAAAATAAAATTAAATTTTTATTACATTTCCTTATAGATATTTTCTCTCACGTTAAAGGCATAAAGGATGCACATGTATAAACAATAATTATGAATATCTGTAAAAGTATTAGTTTTTATTGATTCACTTGGATTTTAATTATGTGTTTTAATATATTTGCAAAAAATAATAATGAAAATATGCTGTGAAACTATTAAAATTAATTTTTGATAATTGCAAATGAAGTTGTTTTTGTACGATTGATATTATTGTAAATATGTAAATTATCAAACACAACTCAAATAGTTGGGGTTCTGTTAGTCATAGCCAAAGATTCATAAGATTGGCTGGCCAATGTTCAAATTTGATTTCAATTTGATTTATTCTTGCTTGAATTTAAAGTGGAACATCCTATTTTGTGCAAAATTTAAAAGAAAACCCGAAGCGCACAATATTTTTATCTGTATTTATCATCCATCACGCTCCAAGATCATGAAACAGACCTATACTAAAGTCAAATTTTCAATCGTCTGTAAAATGTTTATTAATAATTGAAATACATGTAATTCTTTTATTTGCAGTTAATATAAATTTTGTAAAGGAATGTCAAAAAAGTATCATTTTTAACCTGATTGTTTTCAAAAACATTTAAATTCAACATAAAAAATTTGACATAAACTTTCAAGATATTTTTTGATTCTGGGGCCAAATTTTATGGAAGGGGATAAACTGGTTACATATGTTGAACTCTGCAGATGCGCAGCTTGGTATAAAAGACGTTGTTATAAAATTAATTAACATCACAAGAGCATGGTTTTCTAAAGGTTACTATTTACAATAAGACGTTTTATATTAGCCTAGTTTTCCTGCCAAATAGATGAGCTTGTTTAAGCTTTCAACAGGAAAGAAATTAAATCAGGTAGTCATGAAAAAATGTATTATTAAAGTTAATAAGAGAAGGAGTAAAACATTGTTGGCGTTACAAGAATGGGGATGGGGTTGAAAATGGGGACTATTAATTTGTGTAGAGTATTACACATCTTAGGCTAAATAATGCACAGTCTTACCCCTTGCACTATAATATTTTCAAGAGGTATACAGGAAAAAGGGAGTGAAGCAGATTAAAATTAAAATACAAATATAGAAACTTTGACAAGACAAAGTATACTATGCAAATATTAAGTTGATGTCTTGCTGTTTTTTTAATCTAAAATGGTGAATAAAATAAGTAACAAACAGCCACACTATAATCAGAGATTACATTCACCAACAAGAATCTAGATTTACATGTATGTCCTTCTTATTTTAAAAGCCGTTTCTGTATATCTGCCAAGATATGTCTCAGAGGAACTTCGTGTGATGACAAATTAGAATTCATGCCATCAACTGATACCGACGTAGTGAAGATTTCTTCGTAACAAAGGATTTTCAAGTAATACAATGTCAACAAAGACATGATAGATCGTTGAAAGGAATTTTTAATAAACGTTATCTTTGTTCAAAACCCCTCAGCATATATTTCTATTGATATACACAAGATGCCCATGGACCACAGCGCTTGTCTGTGTTACATTGTTTATTATATATGATAAAATCCTCTAATAAAATCATCATCGTTTAAATTTAATCATATCAAGGGGAATATACATATGTAATTATATATTTGAGATTTTGCTTTTGTTATTGAGAGGTTGATAGTTGCATTTCTTTAAATATTACATTTCCTTTTCAATATACACGGTATTTAACCTGCTGGTTGGAACATTTACTGGAATAAAAAAGAAAGATCGAAGAACGTCCAATTCTTGTGAATAAAGTTGAATAAAATTGAATCTTCAAATGATCGGGATAATTATGTTTTGTTTAGAAATTGATCTGCAGTTAGTTTTTTTGTCTTGCTTAAAAAGATGAATACCACATATACGAATATTTCCCAATTTTAAGAATGGTATGGAGATAACGAACAGTATTCAATATCAAAGTCCATAAAACAATACAAAATAGGAGCAGAGCAAACATGGACTTCCAAAACATCAGAGGTGGGCCAATGTATTTTCAAATAAATAAAAATGTTAGTTTTTCTCTATTTTTTCTTAATTCCCCCTTATAGTAGATCATTGTCTTTCTTTCTGGGAAAATTTTAAACCATAACTTTGATTACAGACGTTTGATTCAAGTGAAGAATCACTCAAATCCCAGACAAGCTAAAATGTAATTTTGCTATCTGAATTAAATATATCTATCAAAAAGCACACCGCCATTTTTGTCTTCGTTGACTTCAAAGTTAGATCACAAATCTGTGAAAGTGATTCTTGATATTTTTCATATTTTGTATTAACATGAAAGGTGTTTTTCTACTTGTGACTTTGTTAGCAAATGTGCACACGGGAGCTAATGATCTTCTTGATGAAAAATGGAGAAGTTCCGTTGATCTAAAAGTAGAGAAACTTATGACAGTCTTAGAAATACAACAAGAGAAAGTCTCTCAGTGCGAATCAAGAATAAAAATCCTGGAGGAAGACGTTGCTGAGAAATATCATAAAAATAGAGGTAAATACAAAGTGAAAGATTCATAGAGAAGATATTGTGGCTCTATTGAAGTTGTATGAACACGCATATATTTAAAATAATTCTGTTTTTTCAGAGCTTCAACATAGATCTAAAAGATTTTTGGCAGACCAAGGATTATCACCCATTGCATTCTATGCCTATATATCGCATTCATTCACTCACGTCGGAGATAATCAAGCTCATGTTTACGATACAGTCGTCACCAATCTAGGGAATGGGTACAGCAAACACACCGGGGCATTCACAGCTCCCAGAACGGGTGTGTATGGATTTTCCTGGACAGTCTTTGTGGGCGGATATCATATCTCAGGAGACACGGACTCAAATTTTGGAGAAATCACATCTCAATTACTTCATAATGGTCAAGTAAAGGGAATCTTGCATGCAGATACCGAGACTGTTTATGAAGACGAAACGTCCACTGGGTTTGTTGTTTTGAGTGTAAATGCTGGTGACGTCATCATAACTCGAGCATCAAGTCTTCATCAGGGTTCATATTACAGCAATGGATCTGGTAGATGGACTTTTTCTGGTTTTCAAATTGCTTGAAGTCAAATAAATGATATGTAATTTTTTTATATGTTCTCGAAATATTACATCAAAGTCACATAATCCATCTTATTGTAAACATCTCCCGCTTTGAAATACCTGCTTTATCCTTTATATGTAGAAAAATATCATTAGCTTACATTAAAAAATATTTTTTTCCAAAGTACATTTGTTGCCCTAAATTTGTAGCATTGATTGATATAAGTTTTGTAAACACATGTTGTAGTATCAATTGATGCACTGCATGGGTATATAAACATCGTGTTTGCATATTTAAAATCAGTACATGAATTTCTTGCAAGCATGTCATGGTGACGGAAGTTTCATTGTGTCTTCTTATTGAATTGCATAATTGAACAAGAGGATCACGGGCCTTATAGGTCACCTGAGTACTGTGTAACAACTTTCAAACAATTAAATTTGGTTCGTGTTTTAAACCAGGGGCCATGAAATTCACAATTCACAATTTTGAAAGAGGCACCATTGCTTATCATAATTATTAACTTAACATGCTTACTCTATTTACTTAATACCCAGAGGTAGATCAGAGTAACAAAGAGAAAATGCACTTCCACTTTATACCCAGTTGTGCACCTCACTCCAAAGGAACCACTGACCCAGGGGCCATATATTTCAAAATTTTCCAAATTTTATCATATAATGGTTGATTGATACCAAAGAGCAGATTTCAAAGCATTAATTCATTTTCAGACTATGTACCCCCCCCCTTTGACCCAGGGGGCATAAAAAAACCAATTTGCTAGATGCACCTTTCTTCATCATAAATATATATACTTGTATCATTGGCATAAAACACAGAAGCAAAGGAAAATATTTTCAAAGAATTAATGTATTTTTACTACATAATCAACAGAGCCCCGCTCTAACACCAGAACCCCTAACCCTGGGGCCATAAAATTCACAATTTTGGAAGAGGCACTCTTGCTCATCATAACGATGTGCTTAGTTAGTTTATTTAATACCCAGAAGCAGAGAAGAAGATTTTCAAAGAATTAATGCATTTTCACTATATGATCAATAGAGCCCTGCTCTAACACCAGAACCCTGACCCTGGGGCCATAAAATTCACAAATCTGGAAGAGGGACTCTTGCTCATCATAACTATGTACTTAGATAGTTTATCTAATACCCAGGAGCAGAGAAGAAGATTTTCAAAGAAATAATGCATTTTCACTATATAATCTATATAGCCCCACCCTAGCACTAGAACCCCTGACCCTGGGGCCAAGAATTTCACAATTTTGGTAGAGGACTCAATGCTCATTACATTCATGCCAACAGTTTGCCTGCTTGATGTCCAGGAGTAAAGAAGAAGATTTTTAAAGATTGCAATAATTTTAGTGGTTTTGGCCCCCCCCCCCGGGCCTAAGAGGGGCGGGGACCATGAAATTCAAAACTTTTGTTCCCCTTCACCCATTGATGCTGTATACCAAATTTGGTTGAAATTGGTTCAGTGGTTTCAGGGAAGAAGCTGAAAATGTTCAAATGTTAACATACGACGGACGACGCACGACGGACGAAAACGGATAGCAATAGGTCACCTGAGTTACTCAGGTTACCTAATAAAAAGACAACAGCGTGTTACAGTGTAGTTTGTTTTTAAATTTTGCACCAAAGAACATTTTTTCAATTCTCAGAGAGTAAGTTGAAAGGTTTCCAGATGCTTCTTTTTATCATGCAGTAAACAGGAAATTTTCAACAACTTTGTGTTCAGTCAAACAAAAAGAAAAAAATCATTTACTGTTGAAAACGGTTGATTCATTAATTTATTTGTATGTAGGTTGTTTAACGTCCCTTTTAAAAAAAAATTAACTCATATGAAGACGCCACCACTTGAAGGAGAGCTGTAAATTTTGTCCTTTACTCGGCACTTAAGGCCATTGAGCGGGAAAGGATCTTTTTCGTGCCAGCACTTGCTGCGACACGGGACCTCGGTTTATTAGGTCTCATTCGAAGAACCGGTCTCCACGCCCTACAGTGGGATTCAAACTCGCGACGTAAAGATCAACTTTTTACTTTGCGACTGTAGAGCAGAAAGTCTAAGCACTGTGCAACGCGGGCGACTTGACGAAAATAATGAAAAGTAATAAAACATGTTTAACAAAACAAGAATGAGGGTTAAGGGGGTGATACCTAGAGAATTCCACAAATTATTCCACAATCTGACTCCCTGCCTTATAGATGTACATACCTGGTGTAAAACTTGGTATATAAGAGACCCTTTTATGAAATAAGCTAACTACAGAGAATCAAGTTTCATTAAGGTCATTGTTGATATTATTAATAACGTATTAATGCACCTTAGTTTTTAAATAGCATCAAGTAGAAATAACTTTTTTATTGTTATTTATTGAACATGCAGTTCAAGAAGTAAAACATTGTCTGCGATACAAGAAAAGGTGTGGAGTCAGAAATAAGGACACAAATTAAATATAGAGTATTGCACATCTAAGGCTAAATATTGCACAATCTGACCCCAGCACCAGAATATTTTCATGAGGTACACAGGAAAGGGGAGTCAACCAGATTAGAATTAAAATACAAAATATGGAAACTTTGACAATACGCTGTATAATGTACAAGTATATTAAGTTGACCCCCTTATAAGCATGCACAATTCAAAAATCATACATTCAAATCCTGCTGTTTTTAATCGAAAAAATGGTAAGTAAAATGGAAAATAAAACAAGTAATAACAAATAGCCCAAAATCTAATCCCCGATTGCATCCTCCAACCCAGAACTATATGACTTTTTAATATTTAACTGTTTCTGCATACTTGCAAATTTTTGTCTTGGAGGACTACTGGCTCCCATCAACAGAAACCGACGTGTTGAAGATTACTATGTAGCAAAGGATTTTAATTACTACAATGACAATTTAGACATGATAAATTTTTGTAAGCAAACTTTGATAAAGATAATCTTAACTCAACACCTGTTAGCCTTTATTTTTAAAAATTAAATATACACGAAATGTCTAACAGATCACAGCGCTCATCTGTGCCACTTTGATTTACAAAATTTAATCTTTTAATGTGATCATCATCTAATTCAAAAGTAATTATTGTAAGTGATTATTGAACGACAAAATACATATGACAGTACGAGGGCTGCTCGGAAATTATTGAGACAATTACATTTACTCCATAAAGGACGGAGATAATTTCATGAAAATTCATCAACATTTTATAAAGAACGATTAAAACACTTAAGCAAAATTTTTATTTCATATAAGATTACAAAAATCATTCCCTTTTCTTAAACCATTCTTTAAAAATGTATGCAGCTGCTACCCTATTGTAAAATTTTCATTTGTGGGAAAAAAAATTACTTAGAATCATGCAGTGCCGATTTATGCAACGCGGGTCAGCGATATTAATACCGTAAAGATATTAATAACGTACGTAATAACTGCTGGTCGTCCGGAGCTTTTGATTTTACTCTGGTTGGATTAATTGTAAAAAAAAAAAATGTATACCAATGAAATAACAAACCCTATCACATTATTTTTTTTCTAGTTGTTATTGATTTATCAGGTCGTTTAGTATTGAAAAGACTTCTACATTGCGCTACATTGCGCTACACAAAATTTTAGGTACGCTGACTGCTCCGCTCGAGACGTCAAAATCCATTTTTTCGTCCTTAGCAGATTTCTCTACCTCGAGCTCGTTTAATTTTTTTTATGATCTCCATATTTCTGATCAAAATTCTAACAAAGTTACACAACACAAAATTGAAATAAAGCTAAAAAAACAATTATACATATAAACTGGATTATTTTCACTTTTTTATGAGTCCACGAAGAGTTAAATTGGAACGTTGATGTTACATATTTTCAATATCTGATTTCGTGACTGCTCCGGGTACCCTTACTATTGAGGCATTTATATATTATTGTACAGAAAATATGTAATATTTGTAAAATATTTTTTTCTTTTATTAATTCTTAGTGTATGTCAAACGTATATATGCAAATTTTCACCGAAAGACGTCCATTAGAAAGCAAAATATTCACAATGTCTTAATAATTTTCACAATGTCTCAATAATTTTCGAACAGCCCTCCTTAATACATGTATGTGTAATCAGGAATTTTACATATATCATATACATTCGGAAATATATATGCATGAAATTCCTATTCTAATTAGAAAATACGTGCATTTACTGTTTCATTTGGGAAAATGTATTTATTGTTTTTTTAATATACTTTTTTTCAAGTTTTCACAGTCCTGGCTGGGGTTTTTAGTGAGATAATTTTAAGTATGAAACATAACATATGCACAGATGTACAATAGAGAAATCTTCACCTGCATGCGGAGTATATATATCTCATTTGATTCGATACGTAAGAGCATGCTCTACATATGAACAATTTCTAAAACGGGGTAAATTATTGACAAGAAAGTTGATGAAACAAGAATATCAGATGTCTCGTTTAAAGTCATCATTTCGTAAGTTCTATGGTCGATACAATGACCTTGACAGCAAATACAATTTATCATTGAGTCTAATGCTGACTGACGTTTTTCGTACTAATAGTAAATCCATTACTTATACACTGAATTGACAACGGATTTTTCCGTTATTACCTGATCATGACAAGGAGCACACGGTGGGTGTGACCGGTCGGCAGGGGATGCTCATTCCTCCATGGTACCTGATTCCATCTCCGATGTTTTGGAGGCCCGTGTTTACTCTGCTCCTATTTTGTATTGTCTTATGAACTTTGATATTGAATACTGTTCGTTATCTCCACATCCTTCTTGATGACGTAAAATCTTTATTTTTATCTACAATTTATCACAAAAATAAGATTAAATATGATTAAAAATTATTTGCTTTTTTCATCTGTGTGCACCCATTATTTTCCAAGAAAACGCTTTGTCCATATTCATTGATAACCTAACCAATTTAAACCCAGTGACTAGTGTCTAGTAACTTGTTGTACATACAATGGTCTTTCACTTTCCATTTAAAATGGTTGAAGACAAGAAGAGGTTTTTGTACCGTAAGATCTTTCTTGATATCAAAATGATAAATTATTAATTTCAAACTATGATTACAAAAAAATATGAAAAACCGTGCTCAC